TTCAGCAGGTGGCATGGTGGTTAAGGTGGCTAGATTCCACATGGCTGACTGTACAGTTCAAGTCCCAAACTTGGTGTCTTGAAAAAATGCCAGGTACATGTGCACACATACCCAAAATCCTGAGAGGAGAATGGAAGAAAATGACCATGGCGTGGGCATGCTATCTGGAGGGTTATTTCTGATTTCTCACTTACCTACTTTCTCTCTCTATCTCTTTCCAGTGAGTGCATGTGTGCATGTGCTCTACAGCAAAACTAAAAAAACAAACAACAACAACAACAAAACAAACTATACCATATTCGTGAATAAATACGAAAAACTTTTGTGTAAATATATTTTGATGTTGTTGTTTTAGAGAGCTTTTTGCTATAGGGTGCATGAGCTCACTGAAGAGAAAAGAGACAAAAGACAAAAAGCGAGAAATCACCCCCAGGAGGGATGACCACACCACAATCCCCTCTCCTCCATCCTTCTCTCAGGATTTTGGGCACACACACATATGCGCCTGACGTGAGTTTTAAGTCACCAGGTCTGGGACTCAAACCACAGTCAACTATGTGGGTGTCCAGTGACATAACCATTATGCTATTTTCTGGTCCTATAAATGTATGTTTAACTTTTAAATTTACTGCAGTAGGTAAATCATGGTTTAGCCTTAGAGGAGTCTTTGAGCTTTTTCTTCTAGAAGGTTACAAGCTTTTTTTTTTTTTTAACCCTTACTGTTATCATAGAGTTACAATCTTGTCTAATAGGAAAATTTCTAGTATTCTTTGGGATCCTTGTTTTGAAGGAGTGTTTGTTCAGTTTTTCCCTATCTCCTGTCAATTTCACTGTCACTTCAGGTTATGGACACCTAAGAGCCCAGAGTTGATTTTGACTCAACCAAGATCACATGCACGTCATTACATTTCCAGCCAACTTTCTTCTACTGTGTTTATAAAATGCTGACTGAATCCTGTTTAATTTTCAATCTTAAGTCTTTATTAGAAAATCTTAATTATCTTACCTGGATTCCAACATCAGTGATCTTGTAACACTCGGATAGAGAAAGTTCCTTCAATTTTCTATGTCTGGAAAGTATCACCAAACCCTAAAAATATTGAATATAAAGATTGTTTTGAAATTTTGGAAGGTATATTTCCAGTTACCATTTATGTGGACTAGCAACATAAAAATAATCACTTATGTAAACTAAAATAATTTGGCTTTTTTATTATATTTCTTTATATTTAACAAAGAATAAAATCACTTTGATTAGGCCGTGTCATTAGATAAAATTTCCAGGTTGTCCACTTTTGCAAAAAATGTAACCCTTACTGTTATCATAGAGTTACAATCTTGTCTAATAGGAAAATTTCTAGTATTCTTTGGGATCCTTGTTTTGAAGGAGTGTTTGTTCAGTTTTTCCCTATCTCCTGTCAATTTCACTGTCACTTCAGGTTATGGACACCTAAGAGCCCAGAGTTGATTTTGACTCAACCAAGATCACATGCACGTCATTACATTTCCAGCCAACTTTCTTCTACTGTGTTTATAAAATGCTGACTGAATCCTGTTTAATTTTCAATCTTAAGTCTTTATTAGAAAATCTTAATTATCTTACCTGGATTCCAACATCAGTGATCTTGTAACACTCGGATAGAGAAAGTTCCTTCAATTTTCTATGTCTGGAAAGTATCACCAAACCCTAAAAATATTGAATATAAAGATTGTTTTGAAATTTTGGAAGGTATATTTCCAGTTACCATTTATGTGGACTAGCAACATAAAAATAATCACTTATGTAAACTAAAATAATTTGGCTTTTTTATTATATTTCTTTATATTTAACAAAGAATAAAATCACTTTGATTAGGCCGTGTCATTAGATAAAATTTCCAGGTTGTCCACTTTTGCAAAAAATGTTACAGAATCTTAGACCCAGAAAACTCCTTAGGATATTATTATCTTGCCACCTGTTTCCAGATGTTATCTGAATCGATATAAAGAAATCTAACTTACAATTTTATTTCGAAGGTTCTCCATGTGGCTAATGAATGTTTGTCAATAAATTCTTATTTATGCCTAACCTAAAAATCTAAAACCATTAGTTCATTGAATAATTTTATTTCCTTGAAGAGAAAAGGCATAGATCTTTATGTAAAGGCTTAGAGGCAGATAATTACTCACTAATAGCATGCTTTTATACCCTTTGTTTATATATTTCTTCAATGAGGGAGACAGAAGGATGCAGTGCCTCTAACAGGATCTCGATGTATCAATCCATCCCTCCCCCGAGCCAGCCCAGATCATGGGCACATGTTTGCTCAGTATACATGCGCTGCCAACCTTCCCAAGTGAGTGCGCCTCAAAGAGCCTTGCATTTTACAGTGCACAACTGTCCTGCCCTCACCTCACCTCTTTTTTGGTTTAAAAGTTTGTTTTGTTTTTGTTTATTAAATAGATTGCCTCTTTCTGTTCATAAGTTTTGTGTGTGTGTAGTTGTGAGGTCCTGAAATGGACTGGCACAACACTTGGGAAAGAAATGAATGAAAGTGGCTTATAAAAGCCCTCCTATTTTGTATTCAGGACCACATTACTTTTATTTTTTAAATTGCCAGAGGGCATGTGCACTCACCAAAGAGAGACAGAGAGACAAAGAGAGAGAGAGAGGAGAAAGCAACTGCCATAGAGAAAGGTCATGCTGCAATCCCTTTTTTTCATCTCTCTCTTCTTTTAGTATTTTGGGCCTGGCATGTTTTTGAAGCCACCGAATCTGGGATTCAAACCACATGGTTGATCATGTGAAATCTGACCACCAGGCCACAAGGCTATCCCATATGTGTTTTTTAAAAAAATATTTATTTAATTCCATTTGTTATTATTATTATTTTTAATACTAAAAATATTGACCAGACAGAGAGAGAGAAAGGGAAAGTGAGAGAGCAAGCTGCCAGGTCTGGGACTCAAACTGTGATTGACCATGTGGGAATCCAGCACCTTTAACCACCATGCCACCTGCTGCCCTCCCCCCCAACACACGTGTTTTTTAAGCCACCAGGGCTGGGATTCTAATTACAGTTGGACATGTATTGTAGGATTCAGCTCCCTTAACCATTCTGCTATAGGCAGCCTAAGAACCACATTATTTTAATAGATCCACAGGGTATGCTTCCTAAACTGGGCGGACAGAATGGTTTCTTGTTTTTGTTTCTCTTTATTCTATTACAGAGCTGGATGGCAGGGAAAATGCCAAAAACAGAATATGGATTTGTGCTTTTTATATTTTAGCTGCAAATCTGTGCTTTTTATATTTCACTGCAGGACTAGTTTACATTTTATTGATATTAAATACAACGTTTGGGCCATAACTTAAAATGGATTATATAGGGACCAGCAGCTGGCATAATGGCTATGTCGCTGAACTCCCATGTAGTCGACTGCGGTTCGCATCCCGGACCCAGTGGCTTAAACTCATGCCGGGCACATGTGTGTGCGTGCCCAGGATCCTGAGAGGAGACCGGAGGAGAAGGGATTGTGGCGTGGCCATCCCCCACTGGGGGGTGATTTCTCGTTTTCTGTCTCCCTGTCTCTGTCTGTCTGGCGAGCGCACATGCCCTATAACAACAACAACAAACACCTCTCCATAAAAAAAAAAAAAAAAAAAAAAGGATTATATAAATATTATATCCTGTTTTCGCCTCTGATGCACAGATTAGGCTCTTTCATTTAAAATAGTTAAAAGTCCTAATTTAGGGGGAAAGTGCTTGATTTAAGCCACTGTTTAAATGGTGATTTCTAATTTCAGTTAATGACTCAGTACACCACACAAAAATAAGATCATTATGTTTATTCTTTTAATTTTATTGTGACTGGATTCTTCTGCTAGGAACACGTTATGTTCTCTGCCTCTTTGTTTCAAAACAAAGAATGACCAAACCCTGTGGATCTATCATATGTGGTCTGGGTTCCAGATGTGGATGCTATTTTGTTCATATTAGAATTGGAAGCGTTTAGAGAGTCTCCCAATAAAAGTCACATAGTTTGAACAAAAATACCAAGTAAAATGTGAAGTTTGTCTCTTTGTCCTATATTTGATAATAACTAAGAATATTTTATTATCATTTGGAAAATTTATCCTATGAAACGATCTCTGAAGTTTTCAGAGATAGTTAGATTTTACTTTGTGTTTTTAGAGATTTTTGGTATAGGGAGCATGTGCTCACTGAGAAACAGAGACAGAAAGACAGAAAGCAAGAAATCACCCCAAGGGGGATTTGTGTTTTTAGAGATTTTTGGTATAGGGAGCATGTGCTCACTGAGAAACAGAGACAGAAAGACAGAAAGCAAGAAATCACCCCAAGGGGGATGGCCATGATGGAATCTCTTCTCCATTCTTCTCTCGGAATTTGGGGCATGCATGTACATGCACTTGGTATGAGTTTAAACCACCATGTAGGGACTTGAACTGTGGTCCACTACAAGGGAGTCCAGTGACATAACCTTTACACCATCTGCTGCTCCCATATTTTACTTTTATGTAGCCAAGTTAGAATTTTTTAAGATGAACTGTAAATGAAGTGCATTTGCTAAGTATAACATTTGACAACCTATATGTTCTTTACCACCTTATTCAAAATAATTAAAAATTAAGATGAAGTGCCATACTACATTATTATATTATTCATTAAACTATATGGCCTTGGGGGGCCAGCAGGTGGCACAGTGGTTAAGGTGTTGGATTTCCACATGGCCAACCATGGTTCAAGTCCTGAACATGGTGGCTTGCTTTCTCGCTTTCCTTTTCTCTGCCTCTCTCTCTGGTCAAATTAACAACAACAACAATAATAATAATAACAAATAAAATTCTTTAAAAAAATATGGCCTAGGACCAGACATTGGTACATCCATAACACAGAGCTCTGTAATGCTGGATCTGCAGGTTCATATCCAGAGACCCTTCTGTGTTCTGGGTGTGTGCCTGCATGCCTATAATCTGGGCTGGCTGAGGTTTCCTGGTGCAAAGACCCTGTTGGGAGTGCTCTCTCTCTCTCTCCCATGATATATATAAACTTAAAAAAAGTATGACTTCAAAAGTAATCAGTATCATTAGCCATTAGACAAATGCACAGCAAGATATCACAGCATCTGTACTAGGATGGTTGTAATTAAAAACACAAATAATAAAAAGTATTGTTGAGGATGCAGACAAATTGGAACTCTCCTGCCCTGCTGGTGGAGATATAAAATGGACCAGCCACTTTGGAAAACAGTCTGGCAGTTCCTCAAGGAGTGAAGCATAGAGTTACCATATGACTAAGAATTCTCACCTCTAGGGTAATATTCATATTTACATACACAGACTTGTAAATGAATATTCACAGTATGATTATTCATAATAGAAAAAAAGGTGGAAACAACCCAAATGTCTATCAACTAATGAAAGGATCGGGGTCAGCAGGTGGTGTGGTGGTTAAGGAGCTGGAGTAACGCATGGCTGTGGTTCCAGTCCCGAACCTAGGGGCTTGAGAATCACACTGGGTACATGTGCATGTGTGCCCAAAATCCCAAGAGGAGAATGAAGGAAAGGGATTGTGGCATGACCATCCTCCTTGGGGGTAATTTCTCACTTTTCCCCACTCTGTCTCTCTCTGGCGAGTGCATGTACCCTATGGCAAAAAACCTAAACAAAGGAAAAAAAGATAAATAAAATATGTTATATACATGCAATGGAATATTGTTTTGTAATAAAAAGAAGTAATGCATGCTATTATACAGATGACCCTCTAAAATATTATCCTAAGTAAAACAAGCTAGTCCCCAAAGGCCACATATTATATGATTCTGTCGATATGAAAAGTCCAAAACAGACAAATATACAGAGACAGAAAGTATATTAATGGTTGTCTAGGATGGGCTGGGAGGAGGGACAAAGATGGGAGTGACTGCTAATGGAATGGGTTTTCTTTTGGGGGTAATGAAAGTGTTCTAGAATTATTGTGGTAATGGTTACAGAAATCTATGAATATGAATTTAAAATGAGTCCTATCATTTAAATTGGTGCATTTTCTGGTACGTGAATTAAATATCAACAAAAAATTTAAAAAATCTAATTGAGTCACTGGAGCCAGCAAATGGCGTAGCAGTTATGTCACTGGACTCCCGCATGGCAAACCGCAGTTCGAGTTCTGGAAACAGTGGAATGAAAATTATATTAGGCGCATGTGCATGTGTGTTCCCAAAATCCTGAGAGGAGAATGGAGGAGAAGGGTCTGCAGTGCAGCCATCCCCCCTGGAGGGTGATTTCCCACTTTCCCTCTCACTATATCTGTCTCTTTCTCCAGCAAGCACACATGCCCTAAGGCAAAAACATCTTCAAAACAAAACAAAACAAAACAAAAAAACCACTAAGTGATTCGTGTAGTAATTGTATAAACAAAAATCAGAAAATATTTCAGCAACATTGTTCAGTCCACTTTTCATACATTTTTGTTAGTGAGTTTCAGATCGGGATAACCAATCCATTAGCAAGATAAGGAATAAGAGATGTCACCATACTCATGTGTTGGAGAAATTATCATAAAGCCTTGCTGAAGTTCAAACACAGTTGTGTGACCATGTACAACAAAACAGCCAGCAGGGAGAGATGCAGCCTCCATGACAAACTGCCTCATGCTAGTTATGGGAGGCCAACTTGTAGACACCAGG